CTCTCTCTCTCTCTCTCTCTCTCTCTCTCTCTCTCTCTCTCTCTCTCTCACACACACACACACACACACACACACACACACACACACACACTCCTATCTCACGGTGTCCTTACAGAGAATAAACAAGTTATGTCTGTGTAAACTGTTGAGTGGTGTGCAATGTAGTAAATGCTAGCTTTCACAGGTTAACATATCCCCAGTCACAAGTGCTCAGAATCAGAAATGGGTATTTTGGGGTTCTGGAATACCTCATGAATAAATAAATACACACATGCACATACATGTATACACACATACATGTAGATGTAGGTACACACAAAGACACACACACAGAAACACATACACACACCCATACATATTCACAAGATCTCTCGGGGAGAGTACCCAAGCCTACGGCAAATTTCATTTATATCTCACACCCACCCTGTATGTACAGGCTAAAGGTATTTTTATATAATTTTAAAAAATAGTTTGCTGCTATCAAATCATTTCATGCTATGGAAATTTCTGCTTGTGGCATCTTCTCATGCTCAAAAAGGCTCAGATTCTAGATGTCAGATTTCCAGAGTAAAGATGCTCAACCTCAGACACGTGCCCCTCATTATTGAAAATATTTCTCCATCTGGGGAGGTAGTTCAGTGTGTAAGAGTATCTGCTGTTCAAGTCCCCAGGACCCATGTAAAAAGCCAGATTCGGCTGTGCCTCGCCTGTCACCTTAGCGCTATCGGGGGAAGAGACAGAGCAAGGGCTGGAGCTTGCTGGCCACCAGCCCAGCTGCGAGCTCAGTGACAGATCTTGTTTTAAGGAAATGAGGTCGAGAGGGACACAACAGGACTCTCATAGCCCTCCTTGTGTCTATGCGTACCCACCCCACCCCCACATGTATGTACACTCAAACACACCTCTGTACCCACCCTCCCTTCAGAGCGTTTCACAAGTAGCCCACAAGGCAAGCATGAAACCAAACCTCACGGAGAAGCAGCCTTGGAGCGCCACTGCCCCAGACTCCCTTTAACACGGCATGGCCTTCGGAACTCCCAGAACAAGGACACATAGATGACATGGCATGGACGACAGGGCAAGAACTCTGTCACTTAGTGTGGGAAAGAATGCCTCATTGGGACTTTAATATGAAGGGAAGAGCCTCTTGGCAAGGGTCTTGTGAGCCGTGAGAGAAATCTGGATTCGTCCACAAGACAAGGCTCCAGTGAATCTCAGAGACTGTAACTGGGAGGGCGCGTGTGGGCCAGGAAGGCCCATTTTCCTTCCGCTAATACAGAAGTGAATACAGAATTAAATAAGACCATGGTCACCTGCCCTCTGCTTGCTGACTCTGTCCAGAGGCAGAAACAACAGCTGATGTGATGATCTCTGCACTGTTGGTGTTCAACACTGATCAAGTGTCCCAGAGGGCCAACTCTCTTCACCAAGGGCAAGTCAGACTCTAGACCTCAAGGCACATTTCCTGCCCATAAATGACAATGACACAGCCACGAAGCCCTACGCAACCTTGGTGAGTTTTAAAAACCAGCCAATGAAGCACACACATTCAACGTTTCTACCCTTGAAAATCCAGTGGTTTGCCTTTGTCGGTATCCAAAGGGAAGGCAAGGCTTGGCTGGAACCCTTTGTGTTCTGTGTAAGCCCTACTCTTGCCTCTGCATAAAACATACCCACAACCTGTATTGTGGTGGTTTGAATGAGCATGGCCCCTGTAGGGCCATGTTTGAATACTTGGGCCCCAGTTGCTGGAACTGTTTGGGAAGGATTAGGAGGTGTGTCACTGGGGTTGGGAGTGGGCGTTGAGGTTTCAAAAGCCCATACCATCCCAGTTTCTCTCTCTCTCTCTCTCTCTCTCTCTCTCTCTCTCTCTCTCTCTCTCTCTCTCTCTCTCTGCTGATAAGGATAAAAGCTCTCAGCTACTGCTCCAGTGCCATGTCTTCCCACCTGCTGCCATGCTCCCCATTATGATGGTCACAGACTCTAACCCTCTTAAACCGTGAGCCCCAAATTACATGCTTTCTTTTCTAAATTGCCTTGGTCACGGTGTTTGGTCAAGACAATAGAAAAGTAACTAAGACAACTGTCCAATACGACAGCCACTAGTCCCATGCTCCATTTAAATTCAAAATAATGAAAATGAAACAAAAGTAAAAAAAAAAAATCCAGTTTCTCAGTCATAACAGCCACATTCCAAGCACTCAGTAACTTGTGACTTGAATGGATGAGAAGACTTTCAAAAGCACAGGAAATGTCTGGGGCGTTGTTACCATAGAAACTGCACTGTCAAGCCAAGGAATGTTCAGGCAGGCAAGTAGAATTTAGCTGTACTTTCACAATCAATAAAACAAATACACAGCTCCCTTGAAATTCCTGTACCCTCCAAGTTTGTTCTTTTCTAAGTAACATGACATGATGAGCGAGATGCTCCCAGGCCCAGGCTCTTGTTAGTTTCTGCTCCTTCCTAAATAGCCTGGATTCTGTTAGGTGACCACAGTGGGCCCATCAGCACCTTGATGCCATCCTATATGACTGGGAGCAGTTGAATGCAGAGGATGGATGGTCTGAGCTCTGGGAGAAGGAGCCTCATCAATCTACTCTGCGTCTCAGCATGGTTACGGAACATTAATGAGGTTGGGCTCGATTTAAAAGCTGTCTGAGGCATTATGGATGGCAGTGCTCAGTTTCACAGGCACTGGGAATTTCTGAGATATAATCCTAGCCCTTTTGCTAATGAGTATTGTGATATGGAGACTATCATTTAACTTCCGAGTTTCACTTTCCTGCCCTTAAAATGGGGCTATTACTGACCTACCTAACCCAGTGTCCAGAGGATTAATGCACCAATGTGTGCAGAGCTCTGGGCATGCAGCCTGCTGTGAGCCATTACTTCTATTCATTCGCATGCAGCAGTTGGGAAACATTAAGTCTGGGATGTTTACTCCTTCCAAAATGCCTTTTTTTTTTTCCCTCAGTGTAACAGTACCTGCATTATCTAAACCTTAAATCTAAAAGTAAAACCAGGTCCTCAGCGAGGTTTGCACTGATGTAGCAAGGGTCACGGACGATTTTTCCTTCACTTAGCACGAGCCTTAACACCAGCTCTTGCAGCAGAGATGAAGGCAGTGATTGCACAGTAAATTCTCACTGCATGAGCCTGGTGGCCAATCCCGTCAGGGGCACAGCAGCGCCGCTTACATGCAATGATGTTTCCGTATCTGTTCTTCATTCTGTTCTCGTCTTTCTTAGCCGAGTCCCATGGTGCAGACTGTCCTTCAAAGAAGCTCTGGAAGAAAGAGGAAGTGACATTAAGCATGACAATTGCATGTAGTGAACAGAGGGGTCTTCATGGGAAGGGGGGGTGTCCTTAACATGTGGGCCAATGGTCAAGCAGGCAATAGTCACAAGAATGAAGCTATTTTTATTTTGGGAATATTTTGCTTGGCTCCTGCTAAGTGTTGGTTTGCATTGGCTAGCATCTCCCAGAGAGAGAAAGTAAAGAGGAAACCCACAGTTTATTTGAGCAGTATTCTACTAGAATATTTGATGAAGAAAAAAAAAACATTTTCCCAAATTTCTTCCTTAAAAGTTTTCACTACTCTTTTTAAAAACATACAAAGGCATTTTTTTCTCCCTGATAAATAATCAAAGGAATGTTATTTTGGACTAGAATGAAAAAATAGGAAAGCTAAAACTTCATGACTTCAAGATTAAATTCCTATGGTATATTCTGAATTTTACCTGGATGTACTATGCCTGGGGCTTTTAGTGGTCACAGTAGGTTTTCCTATGGCATTTGTAATGAGAATACCTTTTGCTATCACTTTGAGCAAGTGACAAGATTGATCCAGGCCTTCATTCCCACGTTAGTGCCCACAGCATGTCCCCTTATGTCGTCAAGTCTACACAGAAGTTACAGGCGGGACATGGCAACGTGGAAGTTGAGAAAAGCTCGTTTCTTGTCATTGTCACAGATACCAGCCGAGCTGGTCCCCAGCATGGTTGAGAGAGGGCTCAAGCAGTTACAGACCTGCCTGCCTGGCATACAGCATGTGGACAATGGCCAGGGCCAGGCATGCCCTATGCCTGTCTGTCATCAGGCTGGAATCTGAGAAGGGACTGCATGGTCAGCATTTTTGTTGACCGGGGAGCTTATGCCCTCACGGCTTGCATTCAATAAATATTTACTGAATGATTGATGGTCGGCGCCGTTTTGTGATAGCACATAATTGCTCTGATATAAAAAAAAAGTGTTCTAAGACTTTGGAAACCTGTCTGTATCAGTTCATTTTCCATAATTTGGATGACATACCCAAGGTAGGCTACTTGTAAAAAAAAAAAAAAAGAGAGAGACTTGTCAATTCACACTCAAGAACAGGTAGCCCTGTTTGCTTGGCCTCTGGTGGTAGATGGCAACATGTTAGGAACACATTGGTAGTGGGGTGGGGGGGTCAGAGTGGAACAGGGGGCTGAGAGACTGGGGCTCCACAATCTCTTCAGAGGTCTTCCTCTAGTTGACCTAAGAATCTGTCATCAGGCTCCACTTCTTAAAGGCTCCAGAAACAAAACCTGAGCACAATAAAGTCCAAACTTCCAACCATGGACCTCTGAGGAGCAAATAATACTGGAACGCAGCACCTCCTGTATACACTTCACAGATTTCATTCAGATACAACTGTGCCCTCTACATTTTTCATACCATGTCAAATCTTGCTCCTATAATCTAGCTGAGTTCCCACAACAAATAGCCTGGAAAAGAACCTGATCGCAGCTCTGTCCAACCCCTGGATTTTAAACCTTGTTATCAGCATACCCATGGCACAAACCAGCAGAAGCCACCAACTTCATAGGATGCAGGAAGAAAAGCATCATACCCCCAACAGAAGAACCACGTAGTAAATTGCCTATCTTCATCTAAGGTCCCTGAGCCATGATCATAACAGACATTCTACTTTTGAAAACATATTTAAAAAACTTAGGGAGTGTGGCTAGAGAGACCAATCAGTGGTTAACAAGCACTTGCTGCTCTTGCAGAGGACCTGGGTTTGGTTTCCAGCACCCACCTAAGGGCTCACAACCATCTGTAACTAGCGCTTCAATGGATCTGATGCTCTTCTCTGGCCTGTGTGGGTACATGCATGCATGCAAAACACTCGTACATATAAAATAAAAATGAATTTTCAAAGAACCCTTAAGGAACGACAAAGATTAGAGGTTCTGTGTATGAACAATTGAAGTGATAGTGATATATTACTGGTTGAAGAATAAAGTACCCGAAGAAACAGGATAAGTAAAAATGAAATATTTTCATGTTATTGATAAATCAAGACAATAAGACACAGGTGAAAACTCACCAGATAATTCTACCTGGAACAAGACCACAATATAACCAGGAGATTATAAGCACATAACCCATGACAAGCTACAGCGTGTTAACTCTCCTCTGCCCTACAATACGCATTTAAAAATAGCTCCAGGGATTTTTGAAGTCAAATATTCTCATTTGGAAAGTGTCTTTGTTATTCTGTGAATGACAATTATTTCACAGTTTGAGTAATAACTATTATTTGACTTCTAACAATGTAATTCTACTTTGAGTATGTCATGATTTAATTACCAATTTCACTTCCCCTGCCTTTTCTACTCATCTAAAAAGTTCTGGTTTTTTTTTCCTTATTATTCTGTAGGAAGATGGAGGGAGAAAACTGACTTTGAGGGGGCTCTGACATCTTCTAGTGGATCCCTGCTGCAGTTTATGGGGTCACCAAGAGGTGCAGCTTCGCAGAGGCACAGACAGCCTGTCTCAGTCCTGACAAGCGGGGGTTCCGTGCGGTCTGGTGCTCACCTTGCAGCTGGGTATGTATGTGGTAATCACAGGACTTCCGAGAGAGAGCCTTTACCCTTAACAGCAGTTATTTGACCCCACTGTTTCCATTTAATTGGTGATCAGGATAGACATCAATCAGCAAATGGGAAAATAACCAATCTGGTTTCATTTCAGCACCCTGGAATGTTTTAATTTGGACGGGGCTCACGAGTTGTCATCTCTGAGCTCTTTCCAAGGTGGGCATCAGCTAGAGACTCAGATGAATGAGTTCGGCATCTCAGCTGAGCCTCACTGGGGTATAGGTAGGAAGGAGCAATGTGTTCTCTTAACCCCTGCTCTTCGTGAACCATCCCACTCTGACAGTGACTTTAAAGAGAGAGGCAATACCATTTCTACCTAAAAGTATATGGCTAATTTCCATATCTAGTTCACATCTCCTTACATCTAATGAGGAAAATATTAAAGGGCCAGCAAGGTGGCCGAGCAGATAAAGGTGCCTGGAGCCAAGTCTACTGACCTGAGTTCGATTCCACCCTATGGGAACGGAGAACGTACTCCAACGATTTGTCCTTTAACTTCTACACGTGGGCTGTCACACCCACATGCCCACACATACACACATAAGTTTAAAAAGTAATAAAGATTTAAAGATGTATCAAGTAAATTTTGTTCTGTTTTTGGCTGCTTATTATAAAACAGGCGTTTTCTTTTTTTCTTTTTCTTTTTTTTTGTTTTTGTTTTTGTTTTTTCGAGACAGGGTTTCTCTATGTAGCTTTGCGCCTTTCCTGGAACTCACTCGGTAGGCCAGGCTGGCCTCAAACTCACAGAGATCCACCTGGCTCTGCCTCCCGAGTGCTGGGATTAAAGGTGTGCACCACCACCGCCCAGCTACAGGCGTTTTCTTATATGATGCATGAGGCGGGGCTTTTGTCTTGAGCCACTCAACTGCCTCTGCAGGGACTGTGTGACTCACCCTAACAGAAAAGCCAACACGGAACCAAATAAAGAGGGCTATGAGATGATGATGGGGTGGCCATCACCTCCACGCCACCACCTGATGACTCCTTATGAAAACAGTGATTGCATCTTGGACCTTCAGCAATTGACTTGCTCCAATTGTATGGGTAAACTCTCCATGCAAATACATCATTTAGATCAGACCTCCTTGTCACTGCCTTTGGAATAAATAATGCATGCACGGGGGCTGAGGGAGCAAGAGAGCGCTCGAAGGACCGGTGGTACTGGCTTCTGCTGACTTTCGCTAAAGAGGCCGAGCACAAAAATGTCCAACTTTTAAATCGGAAATCTGTACTAAGATAAAACCAGTTTCAGAAATTAGGATTTTTATTAGAATATATTCTAAAAAAAATATCTAAGAGCCCTATTTATAGATTTTTACATTTCTTCATATGCCTAAAGCAGTACCCATGGTAAGCGGAGATTTTAAGTTCGGATGTTAGACTAGCTAGAGCTTCAACAGTAATGGGTGCTCTGCGGAGCTATAGTATGACATGGGTCCCTCACACCTCACAGTCAGAGCCTGTGTTAATTACAGACTTCATTGCTATGACTTCATGCACCTGGCAGAGATGACTTAAGGGAGAAAGGACTATGTGGCTCAGTTTCAGAGGGTCCAGCCACAGCTGCTTGCCTTCCACTTGGGTAGAAGGGCATGGTGGCAGGAACTCAGGGCAGAGGGAGTTCCTTCTTTCTTGGTAGAGAGCACAGAGAGCAGAGAACCCTGACATTGAGCTTTGTCCGTTCCACTGTTTTATTTTGTTTAGGTCTTCAGCCCAAGAAATGGTGTCATTTCTATTCAGGGTGGGTCTCTCTACCTCCTTAATGCTTCCTGGAAAGGACCTGCCAATCTCCTAGGTGATTTGTAAATCCAGTCAAGTTGACAGGGAAGAGCACTCATCACACAGCACCCAGGGCTACTCATCACACAGCACCCACGGTTCTCTTGGTTTCAAATTCTCCGAGACAAGAACCCAGTTTATTAGTACCATGCAACTGTGTTGCAGCTAGTCTGTGGCCACGCCCAAAGAAATGTACGTCATACATAGCAGGTGACTTCATTCTTTCTTTCTCTGAGAGGCATAGGCTTCTGACAATGCTTTCAATTCATTTCTTTTGGTTTGGCTTTGTTTTGTGTTTGCACACCACGAAGAGGATCATTACTAGTAAAGTTACCAACAAGTAGAATACACAGTAAGGTATCAAGTACCTGGGACACTCACTGCCCTGGAGAGTCAATAGATTGATTGTCAACAGGTTGCTAGTCAATAGATTGGCTATATTCATTGCTGAATATTGGTTATATTAAAAAACCTAGTGTTGGTTTTTACATCTCTCTTAATAAATTGACTTGCTTTATAAGACTTACATCATACACTTTTTCTCTGGTCAAGAATAAAGAGGTTTTTAAGCTCTTTTTTTAAAAAAAATATTTTAAGAGG